TCTAGATCAGAGGTGTCGAAAGTCAGTCCTGGAGGGCCGGTGTCCTGCAAATTTTAGCTCCAACTTGCCTTAACACACCTGCAGGGATGTTTCTAAAAAGCCTAGTAAGAGCTTGATTAGCTAGTCCAAGTGTGTCTGATTAGGGTTGGAACTAAACTTTGTAGGACGCCGGCCCTCCAGGACCGAGTTTGGACACCTCTGATCTAGATATTATTTATTTTATATTATTTCAAACTAATAAATGTCAATAATAGACACTTTGTTAAACTGTAGAGCTGAATTTCCAACATCAAAAGTCGTCAGCGCAGAGATCAACATCCCATAATGCAATTCTCAACTGTAAATAAACAGAAAACACTGGTGAATCACTAAATACGGAAGCTGTTCATTAACATACGTTTCCTACAGTGTATTCTCTATAAGTGTGTGTGTGTGTGTGTGGTGCAGATGCTCAGTCAGCGCTGTTTGCTCAGCTGGTTGTTGCTCTGCCTCTCCTGATGTTCTCCGTTCTCCATATAGGCCTGAACGGATCTCCAGAGCGCTCGGATGTTCCCCTCGCCAAAGCCTGTTGCTCCTCTGCGCTCGATCAGCTCCAGGAAAAACGTGTCCTCTGCAAACACCGGCTTGGTGAAGACCTGCAGGAGGTGCCTGAGAAACGAACACAGTAAAAATTAACACAACTGGACCAATGGTTACACTAGTGTTGGGTGTGATATAGTATTTGCACAGGGATTTTTACTTTTCAGTCTGCCAGACCAAGTGCTTACGGTGAACTGTATGCCATTACAAAATTGACACATTTAATATCTGGTTTCTTTAAAGTCAGTGATCTTCACTGCCTGGTTGATATACAATATAAAGTGGGTCTCAGAATGGACAAGCAGCGCTGCATTAAATACCGATGTTCTGCAGCATGTCTTTAAAATATGGAAATAAATTTTACTGTAACTACTAACCACTGAGCCACATATTATATTATATTATATTATATTATATTATATTATATTATATTATATTATATTATATTATAATTTATAATACATTATATTATATTACATTACATTACATTATATTAAATTACATTATATTATATTATATTATATTATATTATATTATAATTTATATTATATTATAATTTATAATACATTATATTATATTACATTACATTATATTAAATTACATTATATTATATTATATTATATTATATATATTATA